CAGTCCATTCTGGTGAATAATGTGATTTCCAGCTTTGTTCTGTATGGGTTTGTATATGGGCTCCAATTCTATATGTTTGTTAATTGCCTTGTGTGTTGAGAATCTGCATGTCTGTGTTTAGCTTGGGCTACTATAGTTACATTGTCCCAGTTAAACTGATGGCCTTCATTGTCCGAGTGTACTGGTATTAAGGAAAGTTTGTTGTGTCGTTTTGCTGCTAGCTGACATTCGTGTATTCTGATTGCTAGTTTCCTTCCTGTCTGTCCGATGTAATGTTTGTGGCAGTCGTTGCTTGGTATTTTGTAAACTACGTTGGTTCTGCATGTTGTGGGAATGGGGTCATTAATTCTTGTGAGTGTTTGTCGTAGAGTATACAAACCCATACCGAACAAAACCGGAAATGACACTACTTACCATAATTGACTGGACAGTATAAATTCCAAGCGGAGTAGAACAACATCGCTTCATCACTGATGATGTTACCTAGCATGGTGACGAAAAGTCTGAACAAAAGCAAACCACCTCAGCGAGCAAGTCAACAACCTTATGAGGTGTCTCTGATTTATAAGACCAAGGTAAGGCCATAAAATCAGATAAGAGGTTAAAGATGGAATTTCTTTTAAAAGCTAAGATGGCAGAGATTATTAACATATAGATGCAGCATTTGGGACTGCTGGAAATACAAGAGGCACTAATTACTAAATGCATAGCATTTTTGTTCACGAAAATTTTATTGCGACTAAAATGACTTGAACATGCAAAAGTACAAAAGCAGCTTGAAATGGAAAGGGAAATAAACTTAAAAGCATTTAACTTGAGGAAAGAGACAATTTAAGAGGCTGCGACTGGAGATTCAGCGTAGAGAAAAGAAACAAGAGAGGAAATTAAGAAAAGAATACCAACCTAGGAGAATAGAAATGTAAAGAGATCTCCAATGTGGAAGAAGGCTCCTTTTAGGAAAGCCCAGTCATAATATGAAGACCAATAGTAAAATGTTTAAAGTTGTACAGGCCCTACCAAAACTTGAAGAAATAGTTGTGGAATATTTCTTTGTTGTGGTTTGAAAATATAACAAAGTGAATGAAATAGCTGAAGGAAAACAGCTAGGAAGGAGTCATACAGAGCAGGTTGCGCTCATAAAATTTATGCATCACTGTTAGAAGAGGTTTCAATAGATTATGACACTATAACAGGTTATTTTGGGCTCAGGAAATTTCCATTCCTGAGCATATAGAAGAAGTTTTGAAACTTAAGGAAGCAGTATGGGCAAACCTACATTGCTTTACCTATTCAAATTCAAAGTAATTTTGACTGGTAGATAGAGTCATAGAGCTGTACAGCATGGACACAGACCCTGTGGTCCAACTCGTCTGTGCCAACTAGATGTGCCTGATTAAATCTAGTCCCATTTGCCAGCATTTGGCCCACACATCCAGATGCCTTTTAAATGTTGTAATTGTACCAGCCTCCACCACTTCCTCTGGCAGCTCATTTCATACACGCACCACCCTCTGTGTGAAAAAGTTGCCCCTTAGGTCTTTTCTAAATCTTTCCCCTCTCACCTTAAACCTATGCCCTCTAGTTTTGGACCTCCTCACCCTGGGGAAAAAACCTTGTCTATTTACCCTATCCATGCCTCTTATGATTTTCTACACCTCTATAAGGTCACCCCTCAGCCTCTGACGCTCCAGGGAAAATAGCCCCAGTCTGTTCAGCCTCTCCCTACAGCTCAAACCCTCCAAACCTGGCAACATCGTTGTAAAGAGATAGTAGGAACTGCCGATGCTGGAGAATCTGATATAACAAGGTGTAGAGCTGGATGAACACAGCAGGCCAAGCAGTATCAGAGGAATAGGAAAGCTGACGGTTTGGGTCTGGACCCTTCTTCAGTAATTCTGAAGAAGGGTCCAGACCCGAAACAACAGCTTTCCTGCTCCTCTGATGCTGCTTGGCTTGCTGTGTTCATCTAGCTCTACACCTTGTTATCTCTAACATTCTTGTAAATCTTTTCGGAACTCTTTCAAGTTTCACAACATCCTTCCTGTAGCAGGGAGACCAGAACTGAACGCAGTTTTCCAAAAGTAGCCTGATCATGTCCTGTATAGCTGCAACATGACCTCCCAACTCCTATACTCAATACGCTGGCCAGTAAAGGCAAGCATACCAAGCGCCTTCTTCACTATCCTATCTACCTGCAACTCCACTTTCAAGAAGCTATGAACCTGCACTCCTAGGTATCTTTGTTCAGAAACTCACTTCATGAATCCACAAAGGTCAGAAAACTGGAGAATGAAAGAACGGCAAGTGGTGAGAAACTATTAACTGTTGGTGTCCTTGTAGATGAAAAACAGCAAGTTAACATTCAGAAAGGTACACAAAGCAGACAGGAAGAAAAATGTTGATTGGCCTTTAATTACAAGGGCATTGGCATACAAAAGTAAGCAAATCTTTCCTCAATTGTATAGAACGTTTGGTCAGACCATACCTGGAATACTGTAAATATTTATAGTCTTCATTCCTAGAAAAAGCATATTTTATAAACTTGGGTAAAGGTGAATTCCATGACTTTAAGCCAAAAAAAAAAGTAATTTTTCATTTCTCAAGTGAAAGTCAACTCCAGTTTTTCACGGATCAAACCAAATTTGTGATAATTACTTAATGGGTTGCCACGGTTCCTTAATATAAAGGCACATGTAAGAACCTTAAGATTTTCCATCCACTAATTGAAACTCTTCCAATTAATTGGCAAGATGAATGTATACCACATGATCTATCACAATACCTTTTGACTAACAATCTGTTCTCATTCTTCTCAGTCTGTCTGCAGCCTTTTAAGTGGTTGACCACACCAAATTTGTCACTGTATTGAAGTTTCAAGAAAAAGAATAAAGCGTAAAGCAGACCACACTCCTCACAAATTTCCCACGTTCCATCAATGTCAATTCTTCTTCTCCCTATCCAGCCTGTCATTCCCTCGATGCCGACCGATCTACCTTTGCCAACTTCCTTTATAACGTTATGCCAACATACGTCCCCACACTCATCTCTCTCTTCCCTTACATTACTATACCAACTGATCCAATATCAACCATGGGCAGAATTCAGGACCCATTCAAAGTTGAAATAAAATAATATGAATTATGCATTGCAAACTTTGCTACTTTGAAAAAAGTCACTCTATTTCATAATGACCCATTTACATGCCTTCAATTATAAAATTTCTCACAGCAATAAGCATTTCATTCATGTGTAATACCTTACAGCAACAAACATTGGAATTCATAATCCCATTTCAATTTCTGTAAGTACTTGGAGCTGTCAATCAGTGAAATTGCAGACACCCTACAATGATAATTGACTGTGGTGAAATCAATCATGCAATACTAATCCAATAATGGAACCCTCTGTCCTTTTGAGAACAGATAGAGTCAAGTAGAAAACAGTGATCTTTTTTGAACAGGACAGACATTTTAAAAAAAATTGAACGGCAGGGCATTTAAATACATTGACATTTGACATCTCTTTTTGCAAGTTCCTCTTGATATTTTTGACAGCTCGTTTTGTTAGATCTGATGAGCTTGACAGTTAATGAGTTTATTTACTTCTTACACAATTACATGCCAACTTTTAACTTTCAAAAAGGAACCTGACCTCTCCATAAGTATTCCAAGACCATTCCAATGCATACCTTGCCTTCTCAAAAGGGTACATGAGCTGTTCAAAGTTCAGACCTGCTCCTACCAAGTCTAATCTGTGCACCTCCTCATGTTTTAAACATCCAGATTACCAAGATAACATCAGAACAGAGGCAGCTGCTGTTTTATATGGGAAACTGCCTCCACAAAATGGGCACCAAAACAGGTGCTGTGCTTGGGGCCAGGACTTTGGGAACAGGATTTTCAAGCACAACCACCATTTTGCTATGACGGAAAAGCTTCCTGTTGTTATAAAATCCTGGCCAAATTTCTGGAATTTTGTGGTTTACCCTAAAGCATGCAAGAAAACAATTTGTCAGATAGTATTACATTTTTTTTTTCTTATTTATATAAATGAACTAGAAACTAGTGAGATAGAAAGTGGATTTGATTTTAATTCTCCAAAGTTCCCTAGAATCGGGAAAGGTTCCATTAGAGGGGAAAGTAGTGAATGTAATTTTTTTTGTTCAAAAAGGGAGAGACAGAGAGAAGAAAACACATGCCAGAGAGCTTAACATCTATCATCTGGATAATATTCGGCAATATTAAAGACATTATAGAAGGTTACTTAGAGAGCTTCAAGGTAATCAGGCAGAGTCAACATGGTTTTGTGAAAGAGAAATCACGTATAACCATTTTTTGGACTACTTTAAGGAATTAACATGCTATGAATAAAGGGAACCAGTGGAAGTACTGTGCTTGGAGTTTTACGAGGCATTTAATAAGTTGGCACATCAAAGATTATTGTGAAAATAAAATGAAAGCTCATAGCATGGTGTTAAGATGTTGGCATGGATGGAAGATTGGCTGGCAAACAAGAAACTGTGCAGTCATAAATGGGCCACTTTCTGCATGGTAACATTAATTGAGTGGTATGCTACAAGTATCAATGCTGCATTTTATATAAATTACTTAGATGTAGGAAGCACAGGTGTGATTGCTAAATTTGCTGATGAGATAAGGATAGGAAGGCAAATAAGCTGAAGAAGGAAGCTACAAAGGAATATAGATATTTAAATAAGAAGGCAAAGACGTGGCAAAAGATAGATAATATGGGAAAATGTAAGATTGTTCATAAAGGCCTAAAGAATCTGCAAAGTTAACTAAATTGACAAGAAGGTGGCACATGGAGTATAATGTGCTGAAATACAAGGCAATTTGCAGATAGGAAGAATAGAGCATTTTCGTTTTATTTAAATGGTGCAACATTACCAGTTGATGATCTTCGGACAGAGTTTTGTCCTTGTACAAAACAAAAAGAGGTGGAGAAATTTATTCTCTTGTACCACTTATTTTGGTTTACAGATTGCGTAGAGTTCTGAAGGGTCGGCAACGTTGCAAATCACTGCCTACGCACTATGATTTTCAATTACATGGATGAGGACTGTCTTGCAGGGAGCCCACACCTTCACCATCAATTAAAGTAAGTCTTTATTGCACTACTTGAGGTAAACAAAAACTAGTTTATACGCGATGTTTTGATGAAGTTTTTACCCTAGAACAGCAAGCAAGGAAAGTAAGTGATAAATTGGCCTTTCTTGTAAGTGGGCTGAAGTAAGGAAGTTTTGCTGCAGTCGTATAGGATCTCGCTGAGACCAGATCTGAAGCACTGTATCTAGGAGAGATATTTAGGAGAGTTTCAATAAAATTACCTATAGTTTTACAAGTTAGTTTATTTTTCAGAAGTTGAAACATAATATCCTGAGAGGCCCTGATAGATTAATGTTTGAAGGCTAGCTGCAATGTAAAACAAATAGCATAGTTTCAAGGTAGAGAGACAGCCATCTCAGACAGAAATACAAATTTTTTTCACACAGTTATGAAGCTTTGGAATTCACTACCCCAAAGGACTATCAATGGTCAGTCAATTAATGTTTTCAAGGTTGAGCTTTTAAGAGATTTGAAGAGTATGATGATTGGGCAGTAAAGTAGTGTTGAAGTACAGGATCAGGTAAGATTGCAGGAAGTGATAGAGCAGGCTTGAAAGCCTATTATTGCTGCTATTTCTTGCCTGGCTTCTTGAAGGTTGAATACAAGCAGTGGAGATCTGAATGAGTTGGAATTACTTTGGAGCCTGGTAAGGAAATTATTTGAAAAATTCAATTTTGTAGCAACAATAGCATGAATAGGAGTTTTGGGGATGGCTAACCTTGAGACAAGAGATTTTATGATAATAGAAGTTGACGGTCTTGATCGTAGACTAAATATGAAATTTGAATCTTAGTTCAGCATTCAACAGAACATCCAGGTTGCTTTTATACTAGGAAAGGGCAGGGGAAATCAGGAACTAAATGCTTCTATGTAGTCCCATGATGAAATCATTGATAGAGGCTTTGAAAGGTTGTCATAACCACTATATAACCTGATTGTCATTGTTTCTTTACCTCACAATGTAAAAATTTATTGAAATTCAAAATATGTAAAGGTAAAGTCACCATCATGACCACATCAGATTATGGAGCTGCTGTCCTATTAGAGAGTGAGAGATGACTGACTGGTGATGGTTTAGCCTGTGGGTGACTACGTCTCAGATGAGGGGAGAGGTTGAGAAGGCGAGTTCTTCATGGTAACCTCAGCTGGTGTGGGAATTGAACCCATAATGTTGGTGTCACTCTGTATCAGAAACCAGCCATCTAGCGGCTGAGCCAACTGACCAGCAAGAAACCTCCTGCTGATTGCCGTCTATTGTTCTCCCCCACCCACTGTCTGACCCTTGGCTCATGAATCAGTAATCATACATTCCTACATTTTGGACAGCACCTGGAGGAAAGGCTGATAATAACAGGGACACTGAATGTACTCTGGTGTGAGTCTCCAATGTGCATCACCGAAAGTGGCTTGATACTACCATCTGAGCTGGCCGAGCCCCGGAGAACATAACTGCCGTACTCAACTGCACCAGGTAGTGAGGGAATCAATATGATGGAAAACTCTACCTAATCTTCATCAATCTACATGTTAACAGATGTGTCTGTCCAGGACCATATTGATAAGAGTGACTAGTGCAAAGTCCTTGTGGAGATGAAGTTCAGTCTTCACATTATGAGTGCCCTCTGTTGCGACGTTGCCACCATGCAAAATGGGACATGCTTTGAACAAATCTAGACCCTCTAAACTGGGCCTCCGTGAGACACTGTGGATCATCAGTGGTGACAGAACCACAATTTAATCACAAGCTATAATCTTATGGCCTGGCATTTTCCCTATTTTCTTTTCACCATCAAACAAAAAGATAAACTCTGTTTCGTGAATGTACGAGGACATGTCAATAGCAGCGCCAACCATGTGTAAAAATGAGATGCAGAGTGGAACTACTTGCATGCCAAATAGCAGATGCAGCATGCAATAGACAGGGCTATGCAGTCCCACAACTGGGTTAAGCTCTGCAGTCCTACAACATCCAATCCTGAATGGTTGTGGAACGGGAAGTGGGACTCCGCGAATATCTGGTCCTTGATAGGGAAGCCAAACATATCAGTGCAAAGGACAAGGCTGAAGCATCAGCCAGAAGTGCCTAGTGGATCACAGCCTTCTCTGGAGGTCCGCAGCATCAAGGATGTCAGCCTTCAACCAGTGCAATTCTATGCACATGATCATAAAAAACATCTGAGGTCACTGGATTTTGCAGTGGCCTTGAAAACATGGAAAAAATATTGAAGATTTGTGCCCTGAAATAGCCATGCCTCAAACCAAACTGCTCCAGGACAGCCACAGCATTGGCATCTATCTGGCAATGTGAAAAAGTTCCTGAGTATGTGCACAAAAACAAAACAAATCCAACATAGCCAGTTTGCATCCTATCAGCCTACTCTTAATCATCTGCAACATGATGGAAGGGGTCTCAGACGCTGCTACCAAGTGGCATGTTCAAAGTAATAACTTGTTCATTGGCACTCAATTTGTGTCCTGCCAGAGTCACTCAGTTTCTCAATTTATTTCAGCATTTGATAAAACATGAACAAAAGAGCTGAACTCCAAAGATGAGATTTCTGAAGAAGGATCTAGGCCCGAAAGGTGAGCCTTCCTGCTCCTCTGATGCTGGTTGGCCTGCTGTGTTCATCCAGCTCTACACCTTGTTATCTCTTTTACCAGAATGTTGCTGGGATTGGAGGTTTGAGTTATAAAAGTAGGCTGGATAGGCTCAGACCTTTTTCACTGGAGCATAGGAGGTTGAGGAGTGACCATATAGAGGTTTATAAAATCACAAGGCGCACAGATAAGATGAATAGCAAGGGTCTTTTCCCTAAGGTTGGGAAGTTCAAAAATAGGGAGCGGGGATGGGAACTGGAGCTACAGATCAGAGGATGGGGTAGCCAGTGTACAGACAGACAGAGCAATCAGAGAATCTATGAGGAAGGATAAGCAGTTGATAGGGCAAAGTGGCAGTCAATGCGACAGGTTGAGATGTGTCTACTTCAATGCAAGAAGTGTCAGGAATAAGGGTGACGAACTTAGAGCATGGATCAGTACTTGGAACTATGATGTTGTGGCCATTATGGAGACTTGGATAACACAGGGGCAGGAATGGTTGTTGGATGTTCCAGGGTATAGATGTTTCAAAAGAAATAGGGAGGGAGGTAAAAGAGGTGGGGGAGTGGCATTGCTAATCAGGGATGGTATCAAAGCTGCAGAAAGGGAGGTTGTGGAGGAGGGTTTCTCCACTGAGTCAGTATGGGTGGAAGTCAGAAACAGGAAAGGAGCAGTCACTTTATTGGGAGTTTTCTATAGACCCCCCAATAACAACAGAGACACTGAGGGACAGATTGGGAGACAGATTTTGGAAAGAAGTAATAGGGTTGTTGTCATGGGCGACTTCAACTTCCCTAATATAAACTGGAACGTCCCAAGTGCAAATAGTTTGGATGGAGCAGATTTTGTCAGGTGTGTCAAGGAAGAATTCATGACTCAATATGTAGATAGGCCGACTAGAGGGGAGGCCATATTGGATTTAGTGCTTGGCAACGAACCAGGTCAGGTGTCAGATCTCTCGGTGGGAGTGCATTTCGGTGGTACTGATCACAACTCCCTGACCTTTACTGTAGTCATGGAGACCGATAGGAGCAGACGGTACGGGAAAGTATTTAATTGGGGGAGGGGGAATTACAATGCTATTAGGCAAGAACTATGGAGCACCAAGTGCGATCACATGTTCTCAGGAAATGCACAACAGAAATGTGGAGGTTGATAGGGAGCGGTTGCTACAGGTACTGGATAGATTTGTACCACTGAGGCAAGGAAAGGATGGTAAGGTGAAGGATACTTGGATGACAAGACATGTTGAACACCTAGTCAAGAAGAGAAGGAGGCTTATTTAAAGTTGAGGAAGCAAGGATCGGACAGGGCTCCAGAGGTCTACAAGGTAGCCAGGAAGGAACTGAAGAATGGACTTAGGAGGGGGTATGAGAAAACCTTGGCGGGTAGGATCAAGGAAAACCCCAAGGCTTTCTATACTTACATGAGGAACAAGAGGGTTGCCAGAATGAGGGTAGGGCCAATTAGGGATAGTGGAGAGAACTTGTATGCAGAGTCAGAGGATGTAGGGGAGGTCCTTAATGAATACTTTGCTTCAGTATTCACCAGTGAGAGGGACCTTGATATTTCTGAGGACAACATGAAACAGGCAAATATGCTCGAACAGATTGATGTTAGGAAGGAGGATGTGCTCGAAATTTTGAAAAACATGAGGATAGATATGTCTCCTGGGCCAGATGATATATATCCAAGGTTACTACAAGAAGCGAGAGAAGAGATTGCCAAAGGGGCAGCAATGATCCTTGCGTCCTCACTGTACACCAGAATAGTACCAGAAGATTGGAAGGTGGCAAATGTCATTCCCTTGTTTAAGAAAGGGTATAGGGATAATCCTGGAAATTACAGACCAGTCAATCTTACTTCTTTGGTGGGCAAATTATTAGAGAGGATTCTGAGAGATGGTATTTATGATTATTTGGAAAAGCACAGTTTGATTAGAAATAGTCAGCATGGCTTTGTGAGGGGCAGGTCATGCCTCACAAGCCTTACTGAATTCTTTGAGGATGTGACAGAACACACCGATGAAGGTAGAGCAGTGGATGTGGTGTATATGGAGTTTAGCAGGGCATTCGATAAGGTTCCACATGGTAGGCTTATTCAGAAAGTAAGGAGGCATGGGATTCAGGAAAATTTGGCTATCTGGATACAAAACTGGCTGTCCAATAGAAGACAGAGGGCGGTAGTGGATTGAAAGTATTTAGCCTGGAGCTCGGTGACCAGTGGTGTTCCGCAGGGATCTGTTTTGGGACCTCTGCTCTTTGCTCTTTGTGATCTTTATAAATGACTTGGATGAGGAACTGGAAGGGTGGGTTATTAAGTTTGCCAATGACATGAAGGTTGGTGGAGTTGTGGACAGCGTCAAGGGCTTTTGTAGGTTGCAAAGGGACATTT